GAGTGGTGCTGACCTCCAGGATGCAGGTGTCCACCAGTTCACCCCTGCTCGTCAGCGGGTGACCCACTGTACGGAGGCGGATACAGGTCGTCACCTGGCTACGTTTACACGTCGGCCAGGGTCGAGCCTGTACACACTGACCACTGCTTCTCCTCCAGGTGCTGCGTCTGGTAGAGTCCCTTCGTCTGGTCAGGTGTTTGCTGCAGCGTCCAGGTCTGGTCCTGAGTCTGCCCCCTTTTCGTGCCGTCGTCTGTCTCACGAGACCCTCCTCTGGCACCACCGCCTTGGCCACCCCTCTCTGCTTCGGCTCAGAGGCATGGCCTCGCGGGTCCTTGTGTCTGGTCTTCCCCGATCCCTCCCTCCCCTTCCTCCGGGCCCTGGCCCTGCCTGTGTCCCCTGTGTCGAGGGGCGCCAGCGTGCTGCCCCCCACTCCTCCCAGTTTCCTCCGACAGAGGCCCCGTTGCAGACGCTTCACATGGACGTGTGGGGCCCAGCCCGCGTCCGTGGACAGGGTCAGGAGCGCTACTTCCTGCTGGTGGTTGACGACTACTCGCGTTACACCACAGTCTTCCCCTTGCGCAGCAAGGGTGAGGTCACTGAGGTGTTGATCGACTGGATCCGCGCAGCTCGTCTTCAGCTTCGGAGGAGCTTTGGCTCCGACTTCCCTGTTTTGCGTCTGCACTCGGACAGAGGCGGAGAGTTCTCCTCTGGCCTCCTGAGTGCCTACTGTCGTGTGCGAGGCATCCGTCAGACCTTCACGCTTCCGGACTCACCAGAGCAGAATGGGATTGCTGAGCGCCGCATTGGCATGGTCATGGACGTCGCTCGTACGTCCATGATGCATGCGGCTGCTCCCCATTTTCTGTGGCCGTTTGCGGTCAGGTACGCTGCGCACCAGATCAACCTCCACCCCAGGGTCTCTCGACCAGAGACCTCCCCAGCCCTGCTGTGGACGGGGAAGGTTGGCGATGCGTCGGCGTTCCGGGTCTGGGGATCTCGGGCGTTTGTTCGCGACCTGTCTGCGGACAAGCTGTCCCCTCGTGCTTCTCCCTGCGTCTTCCTGGGGTTCCCCCCCGACGCCCCTGGGTGGCAGTTTTACCACCCCACCTCTCGACGTGTTCTGTCCTCCCAGGACGTCACGTTCGACGAGTCGGTACCCTACTACCGCCTCTTCCCCTACCGCACTCCGTCCCTCCCCCCGCCCCCGCTCTTCTTGGTACCAGGTCCCCCCCCGGTAGTCCCCCTCCCCCCTCAGGGTCCTGCCCCTTCAGGTGTGTCCCAGGTAGACGCGGTCGAGCCTGTCGAGGTCACTGGTGACTCTGGTGCTGCTGCGGGAGCTGAGCCTGAGGGTGCGGAGTCTGGGGGTGCTGAGCCTGGGGGTTCTGTGCCTGGGGGTGCTGAGCCTGGAGGTGTCGAGCCTGGGGGTGCTGTGCCTGGGGGTGCTGAGCCTGGGGGTGCTGAGCCTGGGGGTGCTGAGCCTGGGGGTGCTGTGCCTGGGGGTGCTGAGCCTGGGGGTGCTGTGCCTAGGGGTGCTTCGTCTCGCCGAGAGCCACTCCCCCCACAGGAGCTGCGTGAGTGGTTTGCCAGGCGCTGGAGGCGTGCTGCTGGTGCTGGTGGTTCTTCGGCTGCAGAGGGTACTGCTGCCACGCGTCCTGGAGGTGCTGTGGGTGCTGGAGCTGCTGGGTCTGAGAGTTCTCCTGGAGCTGGTCCTGCTGAGGGTGTTGGCGCTGAGCCTGCGGTTGGCGGTCCGACTGACAGTGTTCCTGGTGCTGCTGCTGGAGGTTCTGAAGCTTCTGGTGTTTCTGCTGGAGGTGCTGCTGGAGTGGGTGCTCCGGACGGGGCTGCTGCTGCTGTTCCTGCTGTTTCTGGTGTCGCCGCGCGGCCCCGACCGTACTTCGTTCCGCTCCTGCAGCAGGTTCTTGGTCTTCCACTTTCTCCTCCTCCCTTAGAGGGTCCGCAGCCTGTTCGGTCGCAGCCACAGCTACAGCCTGCCTCCCCTTTGCCTGCTCCTTCTCCCTACGCTGGTCCGACTGGAGGTCTTACTGAGCGTCGTGAGCCTGCGTCTCGTCCTGCGTCGCCTGTTCGTACTGAGCGCGCTAGTGGTCGTGGTTCGCGTCAGCGTCCTCCTCCTGTCCCTGGCACGCACCGGATGTCACTGCGTCCGTCCACTGCTCCTCTGCGTGCCCCTTTGCCTTCTCCTCCTGCTTCCTCTCTTCCTGCTCTTGCCGACCCTGAGTCGGACTCTCTTCGCGCTGCCAGTCCTACTGTCACGCGTCTCCTTGCTACTGCTGTCACTGACCCTTCCTTCGAGTCGTCCGCTGCGTCTGCCCTTGTCACTGAGCTTGTCGACTTTGCTGCGCGCTGTCGTCTAGACTACGCTGCTCGTCTTGTCACTGAGTCTGAGTCCGCCTGTCCTCCGTCCGTCGGGGGTGCGTGTGCCCTTGGCACGGACGTCCTTGAGGACAGGCAGGAGGAGTTCCAGTGTCTAGCCGCTGCTTCACCTCGTCTTGCGTCTGTACTGCTAGCCCCTGAGGGAGACCCGGATGCACCAGACATCCCGACTCCGCGCTCTTACGCGGAGGCGATAGAGGGTCCCTACTCCTCTCAGTGGCAGACAGCTATGGATGCAGAGATGGCTTCCTGGAAGTCCACAGGCACCTACGTTGACGCTGTTCCCCCTCCTGGGGCGAACATCGTCAGTGGCATGTGGATTTTCAGGGTGAAGCGGCCGCCGGGTTCTCCGCCTGTCTTCAAGGCGCGTTACGTGGCTCGTGGCTTCAGTCAGCGGCAGGGGGTTGACTACTTTCAGACCTTCTCCCCCACCCCGAAGATGACCACTCTTCGGGTTCTGCTGCACGTTGCTGCTCACCGTGACTACGAGCTGCACTCTCTTGACTTCAGCACTGCTTTCTTGCAGGGCAGTCTGCACGAGGAGATCTGGCTGCGTCGCCCACCTGGCTTCACTGGGTCTTTCCCTCCTGGTACCCAGTGGAGTCTCCGGCGTCCAGTCTACGGTCTCCGCCAGGCGCCACGTGAGTGGCACGACACACTGAGGACTACGCTCGCGGCACTTGGGTTTGCTCCTTCTACTGCCGACCCGTCGCTGTTTCTTCGCACCGACACCTCTCTGCCGCCGTTCTACATCCTCGTGTACGTCGACGACTTGGTCTTTGCCACAGCTGACACTGCTGGACTCGCCTACGTGAAGTCCGAGCTGCAGAAGAGACACACGTGCACTGACCTGGGTGAACTGCGCAGCTACCTTGGCTTGCAGATCACCCGGGACAGAGCGCGCCGCACCATTACCCTGACTCAGTCACACATGGTGCAGCAGGTCCTTCAGCGCTTCGGCTTCACGTACTCCTCGCCTCAGGCCACTCCTCTGCCTACTCGCCACTCGCTCTCAGCTCTGCCTTCGGATGAGTCCGTAGAGTCGAGTGGCCCGTTTGCAGAGCTTGTTGGCTGCCTCATGTACCTGATGACCTGCACACGACCTGACCTCGCATACCCTCTTAGCATTCTCGCACGCTTTGTTGCTCCTGGGAGACACCGACCAGAGCACATGGCTGCAGCGAAGAGGGTGTTGCGCTACTTGTGCAGTACGTCAGGCATGGGGCTAGTGCTTGGAGGGCGCAGTCCAGTGGTCCTCACTGGGCACGCAGACGCTTCTTGGGCTGACGACCAGGCTACGCAGCGGTCGTCACAGGGTTACACCTTCAGCCTAGGTTCCGGCTCTGTCTCGTGGCGGGCTACCCGCTCGTCTTCTGTTCTCGGCTCCAGTTGTGAGGCTGAGATCTACGCTGGGGCTATGGCTGCACAGGAGTTACGCTGGCTCACCTACCTGCTGACCGACCTTGGAGAGCAGCCTCGTTCTCCTCCAGTCCTGTACGTAGACAACAAGGCCATGCTGGCCTTGTGTCGAGAGCAGCGCTTGGAGCACAGAACGAAGCACATTGCTCTCCGCTACTTTCTTGCTCGTGAGCTACAGCAGCGTGGACAGCTACGACTTGCGTACGTGGCCTCTGAGGCCAACACTGCTGATGTGTTCACCAAGGCACTTGCGCCTTGTGATCATCAGCGTTGTTGCACGCAGTTGGGTCTTGTGGCTGTCTTGCCTCACTTGCTCTCCTCTTGACCTTGCTTGTACCTTCGCCTATATATACTCTTACTCTTGCTTACTTGATTCTTGTATATCTCTATATATGATCTTGCATGTAAACTGGCCTTCTGGCCTTTGAACTTGTGCTCGGAATGCGTGGTGACTTTGTGATCCACCCTGAGCTTTGCTTTGCTTTGCTTGACTGGTCTTGTGACCCCTTGTTCTCCCCCACTTTGCCTATGGGGGTGTGTCAGAACATATAGCTTACTTGTTTCTGTAGGCTATAGTGGGGTATCCCATAGGGGGTACAACCCAATTAGGGTTTCCTATTTGTACCCACTTCTTTTCATAGTCATCCACTTCTCGTTCGTACTTTCTCAGAGGTTACCATCAGATTCGGGTCGAACCATCGGACTGCGCCAAAACAGCATTTAGGACTAGGTACGGGTCATTCGAGTATACAGTAATGCCATTCGGGCTGACGAACGCGCCGACGACATTTCAGATGACCATGAACGAGGCGTTTAGACCAATTTTAGATAAATGCGTGATCGTTTACCTGGACGATATTCTAGTTTACAGCCGGGATAAGCAGCAGCACTTAGTGGATCTTGAAGCAGTTTTTAAGGTTTTGGAGGAACATCGGCTACTCACCAAGGGCTCCAAGTGCGAGTTTTTTCGGGACAGGCTAGAGTTTTTGGGTCACGTCATTTCGGAGGCTGGGGTTGAGATTGACCCAAAGAAGCTGGATACGGTAAAAGCGTGGCGCCCCCCGACGAACTGACAAAAGTTAGAAGAAGAAAGAGAAATTGGAAGGGAAGTGAAGTGACTAGCAAGAGTTGGGATACAAGTACATTGCCCTAAATTGGGTTGTACTCATTACAGAGTACCCCACTGCAGGCTAGACAGCAAATATATTCTAACACACCCCCATAGCCAAAGTGGGGTGAAATCAGCAGAGCAGGCAAAGAAGTACAAGCTCAAGGTGGATCACAATGTCACCACACATTCTGAGCACAAGTTCAAGAAGCAATAGTTAAAGTGCACAATTATCAGCAAAGCTAGTGGTGGTCACAACGGGCAGGTGAGGAGGAGGAGGGAGAGTGAGAGGAGAGGAGATGGGAGGCGACTGCTGAAGCTGCAGACACACGGGCAACAGGAGTGGCTGGCATAGTGGCTACCGGGACAGCGCCCCGGACTACTGGAGTAACTGGCTCGGCGGCTACGAAGAGCGGCAAGAGCAACGGACCCACGGGCGACAGGCGCAGCAGGCTCACTGGGCTACCAGGACAGCGCCCCGGACTACACGTGCTGCGGACTACAAGACGGCAGCCTTCGCTCAACCTCCCACAAACAGTCCCACCCCCCTGACACACACCCGCTGCTACACCCCTAGCTCCACTCCCACGCACCCCCCTTAAACCCTAAACCCAAGTCTCCCACACAACCACCCCCCTCAGCGACAGCTGCAGCAGTGGGAGACGACGGAGGAGGAGAAGGAAGGGGCGACACAAACGGAGCACCCCCACACCCGCAAACGGGGGGGGGGGGGGGGGGGGGACAGTGCGCACGAGGGCGCAGACAGTAGCAGAGCGCACGGGGGCGCGAGCACGAGACACGGGCAGCAACAGGCACGGGCAGCACATGCACGGGCAGCACAGGCACGGGCAGCACAGGCACGGGCAGCAACAGGCACAGGCAGCACAGGCACGGGCAGCACAGGCACGGGCAGCACAGGCACGGGACGCACAGGCACGGGCAGCAACAGGCACGGGCAGCACGGGCACGGGCAGCACAGGCACGGGCAGCACAGGCACGGGCAGCACAGGCACGGACAGCAACAAGCACGGGCAGCACAGGCACGGGCAGCAACAGGCACGCGCAGCACAGGCACGGGCAGCACAGGCACGGGCAGCAACAGGCACAGGCAGCACAGGCACGGGCAGCACATGCACGGGCAGCACAGGCACGGGCAGCACAGGCACGGGCAGCAACAGGCACGGGCAGCACAGGCACGGGCAGCACAGGCACGGGCAGCACAGGCACGGGCAGCAACAGGCACGGGCAGCACAGGCACGGGCAGCACAGGCACGGGCAGCACAGGCACGGGCAGCAACAGGCACAGGCAGCACAGGCACGGGCAGCACAGGCACGGGCAGCACAGGCACGGGCAGCACAGGCATGGGCAGCAACAGGCACGGGCAGCACAGGCACGGGCAGCACAGGCACGGGCAGCACAGGCACAGGCAGCAACAGGCATGGGCAGCACAGGCACGGGCAGCACAGGCACGGGCAGCACAGGCACGGGCAGCACAGGCACGGGCAGCACAGGCACGGGCAGCAACAGGCACGGGCAGCATAGGCACGGGCAGCACAGGCACGGGCAGCACAGGCACGGGCAGCAACAGGCACGGGCAGCACAGGCACGGGCAGCACAGGCACGGGCAGCACAGGCACGGGCAGCAACAGGCACAGGCAGCACAGGCACGGGCAGCACAGGCACGGGCAGCACAGGCACGTGCAGCACAGGCATGGGCAGCAACAGGCACGGGCAGCACAGGCACGGGCAGCACAGGCACGGGCAGCACAGGCACAGGCAGCAACAGGCACGGGCAGCACAGGCACGGGCAGCACAGGCGCGGGCAGCACAGGCACGGGCAGCACAGGCACGGGCAGCAACAGGCACGGGCAGCACAGGCACGGGCAGCAACAGGCACGGGCAGCACAGGCACGGGCAGCACAGGCACGGGCAGCACAGGCACGGGCAGCACAGGCACGGGCAGCACAGGCACGGGCAGCAACAGGCACGGGCAGCAATAGGCACAGGCAGCACAGGCACGGGCAGCACAGGCACGGGCAGCACAGGCACGGGCAGCACAGGCACGGGCAGCAACAGGCACGGGCAGCACAGGCACGGGCAGCACAGACACGGGCAGCACAGGCACGGGCAGCAACAGGCACGGGCAGCACAGGCACGGGCAGCACAGGCACGGGCAGCACATGCACGGGCAGCACAGGCACGGGCAGCAACAGGCACGGGCAGCATACGCACGGGCAGCAACAGGCACGGGCAGCACAGGCACGGGCAGCACAGGCACGGGCAGCACAGGCACGAGCAGCACAGGCACGGGCAGCACAAGGCGTACCGGGTCCAGGGGCGGCTTCTGGGGTCCAGGGGCGGCACCTGCAGCTGGGCGGCGGTAGCTGCTGCGGCAGAGCGGCGGCGGCTGCTGCTGCTGATAGAGCGGCGGCTGCTGCTGCTGGGTCGGTGGCGGCAGCTGCTGCAGGTCTGGCGGCGGCTGCTGCTGCAGACTCTGGCGGCGGCTGCTGCTGTAGACTCTGGCGGCGGCTGCTGCTGCAGGCTCTGGCGGCGGCTGCTGCTGCAGGCTCTGGCGGCGGCTGCTGCTGCAGACCCTGGCGGCGGCTGCTGCTGAAGACCCTGGCGGCGGCTGCTGCAGCAGGCTCTGGCGGCGGCTGCTGCTGCAGACCCTGGCGGCGGCTGCTGCTGTAGGCCTGGCGGCGGCTGCTGCTGCAGGGCGGCGGCGGCTGCTGCTGCAGGAACTGACGGCGCCCCGCGGGTCCCGCATGGGGCGTCGCGACGAGCAGGGGCGACGCCCCGCGGGTCCCGCACGGACGTCGCGACAAGTAGGGCGGCGCCGCGCGGGTCCCGCACTGACGTCGCGACGAGCAGGGGCGACGCCCCGCGGGTCCCGCACGGACGTCGCGACGAGCAGGGTGACGCCGCGCGGGTCCCGCACGGGCGTCGTGACGAGCAGCAGGGAGGGCAGCGCGCAGGCCCCCCGAGGGCGCTTCGAAGGACGGGAAAACCGCCGCGCGCCCCGAGCGCACGGCGGGATGAAAAACTCCGAAATCCTAAAAAAAATTTCGCCGCGCGCGGAGCGCGCGGCAGGAAGAAGGACTGCAGCGGAAGCATAGGGGCCCACAGGCCAAGGTAGAACGGGCCCTGATAACATGACAAAAGTTAGAAGAAGAAAGAGAAATTGGAAGGGAAGTGAAGTGACTAGCAAGAGTTGGGATACAAGTACATTGCCCTAAATTGGGTTGTACTCATTACAGAGTACCCCACTGCCGGCTAGACAGCAAATATATTCTGACACGAACATCACGGAACTGCAGAGTTTTTTAGGTTTTGTTAATTACGTTCGACGGTTTGTGCCCGACATGGCACGTTTAACAGCCCCACTCACTGATTTACTGCGTAAGGGGGTCGCTTTTACGTGGGGGGAGAAAGAGCATGCTGCCTTCTCTGCCCTGAAAAACGTTCTCTGTTCACCACCCGTTCTACGCATCGCTGATCCCCACCGCCCTTTCGAAGTGGTTACCGACGCAAGTGACATCGCCATCGGAGCTGTACTGTTACAGGACTTCGGCGACGGCCTCCAACCCATCGCCTACGAATCACGCAAACTACATCCGCCTGAGCGAAATTACCCGATACACGACCGCGAAATGCTCGCGATCGTGCACGCATTCAAAGTGTGGCGCTGCTACTTGACCGTCGCAGACGTGACAGTACGGACAGACCATCGATCTCTACAGTACCTCCGCGCACAGCCCCACCTCAACCCACGACAGATTCGATGGCTCGATTTCCTCGAGTCGAATTTTCACTATACGGTCACATACAAAAAAGGAGCCTCGAATATCGCCGACGCACTGACCCGCCCCACTGCCCAGATCCACGCGATACTACTCGCCCAGACCAGCCCGCTACTGACAGGCCTATTTACCCACGGATATCAAACAGACCCGTTCTTGACAGGAGGCAACTCACAGCAATTCGCAGCGGCAAAAGGAGTCTATTACGTAAAAGCTGGAACCGACCGCATCTGGGTACCAGGATACACGCTACTGCGGGAACTACTGTTACAGGAAGCACACGACGGAGTTACCTCGGGACATTTCGGGGTAGAAAAAACACGGCAGCAGCTGCAGCGGTACTACTACTGGCTAGAAATGTTGACCGATGTGCAACGACACGTGGCATCGTGCCCCACTTGCCAGCTCATGAAGTCAAGCAGGAAGCGGCCGGCGGGACAATTACAACCCATCCCGCCCCCAGAGCGTGCTTTGCAGCAGGTGACGATGGATTTCGTCACGGGGTTACCAGCTGGGGCGAGTGGGAATGACGCGATCCTGGTCGTCGTCGATCGACTAACGAAGATGGCTCATTTCGCAGCATGCAGGAAATCAATCACAGCCGAGGAAACCGCCCGACTCTTCATCACCACCGTCGTTCGACTGCACGGGATACCCGCATCGATCATCAGCGACAGGGACACGAAATCTACAAGCAACTTCTGGAGGAACCTGTGGCAGCAGTTCGGCACGCGCTTACACTTCAGTTCATCCTATCACCCCGAAACCGACGGACAGACGGAACGGACGAATCAGACCATGGAGCAGCTGATTCGAGCCACGTGCGACGATCCGAATACGTGGGAACAGCAGCTGCCACTCATCGAGTTCGCATACAATAACGCACCATCAGCCACGACGCAACAGTCGCCGTTTTACTTGAATTACGGACAGGACCCAACAGTACCCATGACACCGAATCCCGACAACCCCGTCCCACGAGCACAACAGTTCGCCGAGATTCTGCAAGCAGCACAGACCAGGGTGTGAAGATAGGTAAACAGGAATGAAATGACTAAGTCAGAAATTGGTACAAAATGGGAAACCTAATTGTGTTGTACCCCTTATGGGATACCCCACTGTAGCCTACACAAACAGGTAAGCTATATGTTCTGACACACCCCCATAGGCAAAGTGGGGGAGAACAAGAGGTCACAAGACCAGTCAAGCAAAGCAAAGCAAGCTCGGGGTGGATCACAAAGTCACCACACAGTCCGAGCACAAGAGCAAGGCCAAAGGCCAGTTCACATGCAAGAGCACAGACATATATATAAAGCAAGACAAGCAAGAGCAGGTATATATATGTCACAGTACAAGTAAAGTCAAGAAGAGAGCAAGTGAGGCAAGACAGGCACAAGACCCAGCTGGGTACAACAGCGCTGATGGTCACAAGGCGCCAGTGCCTTGGTGAACACATCAGCAGTGTTGGCCTCAGAGGCCACGTACGCAAGTCGCAACTGACCACGCTGCTGCAGCTCACGAGCAAGGAAGTAGCGGAGAGCAATGTGCTTCGTTCTGTGCTCCAAGCGCTGCTCTCGACACAAGGCCAGCATGGCCTTGTTGTCTACGTACAGCACTGGAGGAGAACGAGGCGGCTCTCCAAGGTCAGTCAGCAGGTAGGTGAGCCAGCGAAGCTCCTGTGCAGCCATGGCCCCGGCGTAGATCTCAGCCTCACAACTGGAGCCGAGAACCGAAGACGAGCGAGTAGACCGCCACGAGACAGAGCCGGAACCAAGGCTGAAGGTGTAACCCTGTGACGACCGCTGCGTAGCCTGGTCGTCAGCCCAAGAAGCGTCCGCGTGGCCTGTAAGGACCACTGGACTGCGCCCTCCAAGCACTAGCCCCATGCCTGACGTACTGCACAGGTAGCGCAATACCCTCTTCGCTGCAGCCATGTGCTCTGGTCGGTGTCTCCCAGGAGCAACATAGCGTGCAAGGATGCTCAGAGGGTATGCGAGGTCGGGTCGTGTGCAGGTCATCAGGTACATGAGGCAGCCAACAAGCTCTGCATACGGACCACTCGACTCTACGGACTCATCCGAAGGCAGAGCTGAGAGTGAGTGGCGAGTAGGCAGAGGAGTGGCCTGAGGCGAGGAGTACGTGAAGCCGAAGCGCTGAAGGACCTGCTGCACCATGTGTGACTGAGTCAAGGTGATGGTGCGGCGTGCTCTGTCCCGAGTGATCTGCAAGCCAAGGTAGCTGCGCAGTTCACCCAGGTCTGTGCACGTGTGTCTCTTCAGCAGCTCGGACTTCACGTAGGCGAGTCCAGCAGTGTCCGCTGTGGCAAAGACCAAGTCGTCGACGTACACGAGGATGTAGAACGGCGGCAGGGAAGCGTCGGTGCGAAGAAACAGCGACGGGTCAGTAGTAGAAGGAGCAAACCCAAGAGCCGCAAGCGTAGTCCTCAGTGTGTCGTGCCACTCACGCGGTGCCTGACGGAGACCGTAGACTGGCCGTCGGAGGCTCCACTGGGTGCCAGGAGGGAAAGTCCCAGTGAAGCCAGGCGGACGGCGCAGCCAGATCTCCTCGTGCAGGCTACCCTGCAGGAACGCAGTGCTGAAGTCGAGAGAGTGAAGCTCGTAGTCGCGCTGAGCGGCTATGTGCAGCAGCACCCGAAGAGTGGTCATCTTCGGGGTGGGAGAGAAGGTCTGAAAGTAGTCAACTCCCTGCCGCTGACTGAAGCCACGAGCAACGTACCGTGCCTTGAAGACAGGTGGAGAGCCCGGCGGTCGCTTCACCCTGAAGATCCACATGCCACTGACGATGTTCGCCCGAGGAGGGGGAACTGCGTCAACGTAGGTGCCTGTGGACTTCCAGGAAGCCATCTCTGCATCCATAGCTGCCTGCCACTGAGAGGAGTAGGGACCCTCTACGGCCTCCGCGTAAGAACGCGGAGTCGGGATGTCTAGTGCATCCGGGTCTCCCTCAGGGGCAAGCAGTACAGACGTGAGATGAGGTGAAGCAGCCGCTAGACACTGTAACTCCTCCTGCCTGTCCTCTAGGACGTCCGTGCCAAGAGCACACTCACCCCCGACGGACGGAGGACAGCAAGACACAGACTCAGCAACAAGACTAGCAGCGTAGTCGAGACGACAGCGAGCAGCAAAGTCAACGAGCTCAGCGACCAGAGCAGACGCAGCAGTGGACTCAAACGAGGGGTCAGTGACGACAGTAGCAAGCAGACGCGTGACAGTAGGACTGGCAGCTCGAAGAGAGTCCGACTCAGGGTCGGCAAGCGCAGGAAGAGAGGACTCAGGAGGAGAAGGCAAAGGGGCACGCAGAGGAGCAGTGGACGGACGCAGAGACATCCGGTGCGTGCCAGGGACAGGAGGAGGACGCTGACGCGAACTGCGACCACTAGCGCGAGCAGCACGAACAGGCGACGCGGGACGAGACGCAGGCTCACGACGCTCAGCAAGACCTCCAGTAGGACCAGTGTAAGGAGAGGGAGCAGGCAGCGGAGAGGAAGGCTCCAGTAGGGACTGCGACTGGACAGGCGGTGGACCCTCTACTGGAGGAGAAAGACCAAGAACCTGCTGCAGGAGCGGAACGAAGTACGGCCGAGGCCGCGCGGCAGCTCCAGACTCAGCAGGGACAGTACCAGCACCCTCAGCGACAGCACCAGCGCCACCCACACCTCCAGCGGCAGGTCCAACAGCAGCAGGCTCAGCACCAACGCCCTCAGCAGCTCCAGCTCCAGGAGGACCAGTAGGTCCAGCAGCTCCGGGACCGGCAGCACCCGCACCCTCGACGGTCGAAGAAGCTCCAGCTCCAGCTCCAGCAGCACCTCCAGACTCAGCAGCACGCCTCCAGCGGCGAGCGAACCACTCGCGCAGCTCCGGTGGAGAGAGGGGCTCCCGGCGAGACGCAGCAGCAGGAGAAACCCCAGGCTCAGTAACTCTAGGCGCAGCACCCCCAGGCTCAGCAG